GGGCTGCCGCGGGCGCTGGCGCGGCCGCCCGGTGCCACCATGGGGACCTTGGGGACGTTGCTGCCCGCCGCCCGCCTCAGCCTGCCCTCGTCACCCGTGGCCGCCTCGGCGCTGCCGCCGGTGTCACTTGTCACCAAGGCCACCCCGCCCAGGCTGGGCGTCACCAAGGCGGCGCCGCTCGATGTCACCAAGGCCGCCGGCGTCGTCACCAAAGCCGCCGGCGCTAAAGACAGCGGCGTCACCGGCAAGGCCACCAACGTCACCGACGGGGACGGCAAGGCCGGCGTTGTCCCCAGCGGTGTCCCCAAGGCCGTCCCCGCCGGGGTCAGCCCGCTGGGCGCCGCCATCCTCCGCGCCAGCGCCGACGCCAGCGCCAGGGCCACGCTGGCCGCTGTCCCCAGGGCCGCCCTCGATGTCACCAAGGCCACCCTGGATGTCACCAAGGCCAACCTTGATGTCACCAAGGCCGCCCTGGATGTCACCAAGGCCACCGGCGTCACCAGTATGACCAGTGGGACCAGTAACGCTGTCGCCAAGGGTGCCGGTGTCACCGCTGTGGCCGGCGTCAGCGTCGCGGCCGGTGTCACCAGAGCCACCACCGGTGTCATCTGTGTCACCAGTGCCACCAGTGTCACCAGTGTCACCGCTCCCAGTGTCACCAGTGTCACCATTCCCAGTGTCACCAGTCCGGCCAGAGCCACCGGTGTCACCAGTCCCGGCAGTGTCACCGGTGTCACCGTGGCTGCCAGCGCCACCGGTGTCACCAGCGCTCCGAGGGCCACCAGTGCCACCAGTGCGGCCGCTGCCAGCTGCGGCCACCAGTGCCACCAGTGCCACCAGTGCGGCACCTCACCAGTGTCACCGGCCACTGCCAGTCTGACCAGTTTGAGCAGTGCTGCGGCCACCAGTGCCACCAGTGCCACCAGTGCGGCCGCTGCCAGTCTGACCAGTTTGAGCAGTGCTGCGGCCACCAGTGCCACCAGTGCCACCAGTGTCACCGTTCCTGTGGCTCCCAGTGCTCCCGGTGTCACCGGTCCGGCTCCCAGTGTCACCAGTGTCACCAGTGTCACCAGTACCGGCACTCCCAGTGCTCCCAGTGCTCCCAGTACCATCGTGACTGCGGCTCCCGGTGTCACCAGTGTCACCAGTATGAGCGTGGCTGCAGCTCCCAGTGTCACCGGTGCGGCTCCCAGTGTCACCGGTGTCACCGTTCCAGCGGCTCCCAGTGCTCCCAGTATGACCAGTACCGGCACGGCCGCAGCTCCCAGTGCTCCCAGTAGCGTTGTGGCGGCTCCCAGTGTCACCAGTGCCACCAGTGCCACCGGTGCTGCGGCTCCGAGCATTCCCAGTGCTCCCAGTATGACCAGTACAACTATGGCAACAGCTCCCAGTGCTCCCAGTACAGCTCCCAGTGTCACCGGTGCCACCGGTGCTGCACCTCCGAGCATTCCCAGTGCTCCCAGTACGACCATGGCAGCGGCTCCCAGTATGACCAGTACAACTATGGCAACAGCTCCCAGTGCTCCCAGTACCATTGTGGTGGCTCCCAGTACGACCGTGACTGCGGCTCCCAGTATGACCAGTTCCACCACGGCAGCGGCTCCCAGTGCTCCCAGTATGACCAGCATGACCGTGGCAGCGGCTCCCAGCGCTCCCAGTGCTCCCAGTATGACCAGTTCCACCACGGCAGCGGCTCCCAGTGCTCCCAGTACCGTTGTGGCGGCTCCCAGTATGACCAGTACCAGCCCAGCCGTGGCTCCCAGTATCACCAGTTCCACCAGTGCTGCGGCTCCCAGCGCTCCCAGTGCTCCCAGTAGGCCCCGCCCCCTCCACGCAGATTAATCCCCTGCTCCAAATTAGGCCACGCCCACCGGGTGACGCCCCACCCCCTCTCGCTGATTGGCTGGGTTCTCTGCCCCAAGATTAGGCCCCGCCCCTTCAGGGATTGGATTAATTCCCTTCATTAAAATGAGGCCCCGCCCCCTCCACGCAGATTAATCCCCTGCTCCAAATTAGGCCACGCCCACCGGGTGACGCCCCACCCCCTCTCGCTGATTGGCTGGGTTCTCTGCCCCAAGATTAGGCCCCGCCCCTTCAGGGATTGGATTAATTCCCTTCATTAAAATGAGGCCCCGCCCCCTCCACGCAGATTAATCCCCTACCCCAAATTAGGCCACGCCCACCGGGTTAGGCCACGCCTCCTCACGCCTATTGGGCGAATTCCTTTCCTAAAATAAGGCCCCGCCCCCCCATGTGGATTGGATGAATTACCTTCCTAAAGCTAGGCCCCGCCCACTGTGCCAGGCCACTCCCCCTCATGTGGATTGGGTGATTTCCCTCCCCTAGGCCCCGCCCATCAGGTGAGGCCCCGCCCCCTGCACGGGTTGGGTGAATTTCCCTCTTACAATTAGGCCCCGCCCCCTTTGATTTCCAAACGAGGCCCCGCCCACTTTTACCATCATCTGGCCACACCCCCAAGGTAAGGCCACACCCATCCAATCCTATTGGGTGAGGCTAAGCCACACCCCCGAGCTTGTTTGCAGAAGCCCCGCCCATTCCTGCCGAGGCCACGCCCCCAATCTGTCTGTTGGCGTCCCCGCGGGGTCATGTGACCCAGCCCGATGTCCAATAGGGTCCCGGTTTGGGGTCCCCAAGGCCCCGCCCACTCCTGCCCAGTGTCCCCAGGTGTCCCCAAGGCCCCGCCCACTCCTCCCGGTTTGGGGTCCCCAAGGCCCCGCCCACTCCTGCCCAGTGTCCCCAGGTGTCCCCAAGGCCCCGCCCACTCCTGTCCCCAGGGTTTCCCAGTGTCCCCAAGGTGTCACCCGTCCCTGTCCCGTGTCCCTGGGGGTGTCCCCGTGTCCCCAGGGGTGCCACCCACCGTGTCCCATGTCCCCAAGCGTCCCCTAATTACGGTCCTGTGTCCCCAAGGTGCCACCCACCCCTGTCCCCAGGGTTTCCCAGTGTCCCCAGTCTGTCCCCAGCGTGTCCCCATGTCCCCGTGTCCCCTGTCCCCATGTCCCCAGCCCGTCCCCGTGTCCCCTGACCCCCCGTGTGTGTCCCCTGTCCCCCGTGTCCCCAAGGGTGCCACCTCACTCTGTCCCCAGGCTGTCCCCTGTCTGTAGCCTGTCCCCATGTTGCCTGTGTCCCCTGTTCTCTGTGTCCCCTGTCCCCAGCCTGTCCTGTGTCCCCCGTGTCCCCCGTCCCCGTCCCCATGTCCCCAGCCTCCCCCACGGCTGCGCCCGCGTCCACGGCGGCCACGCCCACCTCCGCGGCGGCCACGCCCACGGCGGCCACGCCCCTGCTGTCGCTCAAACCCGCAGCCATGGGCGGGGCCTCGGCTTTGCCCCGCCCCCCCGGCTCGCTGCTGTCGCTGGCGCCGGGCGGGGGGCGTGGCTTGCGCCCTTCGCCCCGCCCCCCCGGCTCTCTGCTCTCATTGGCCGCCGCCGGGCGGGGCGTGGCCGGGCGGGGCGGCGGCCCCTTCCCCCTATTGGCCGCCCGCAGCCCAGGCTCCGCCTCCTTCCAGCGGGCGGCCACGCCCTTCCTGGCCACGCCCACACGCGGGGGGTGGAGCCCCCGCTCCCCTTCCTCCCCCTTCCTCCGGGGGGGCGTGTCCGGGGGGGCGTGGCCCCGTCTGGGCGGGGGCGGCTCCTGCCTGCACCGTTTCCACGGCAACCTGGGGGCGGGGCTCGGCTGCTCCGCCCGCTTAGGAGGCGGAGCCTGCATGCACCGTTTCCACGGCAACATGGGCGTGACCTCCGTAGCGGCGGCGACCAATCGCATCAGCCCCTGCGGCCACCGCGGCTGCTGCTACCACGGCAGGGGCGGAGCTTCCCTAGGAGGGGGCGGCGCCGCTCCGAGAAGCCCCTCCCCTTTCGCCATCACCCCCAGCATGGCCGCCCGCATGGCCCAGTACTCCCAGTACGCCTCCTCCCAGTACAGCTCCGCCTCCTCCCAGTACAACCCCGCCTCTTCCCAGTATAGCCCCGCCTCTTCTTACAGCCACGCCTCCTCCCAGTATAGCCACGCCTCCTCGCAGTACAGCCCCGCCTCCTCCCAGCTGGGCGCGGCGCAGTACCAGTACCAGTACGCCCAGCTGGCCTCCCAGTACTCCCAGTACTCCCAGTACGGCGGCGCCGACGGCTCCCAGTACGGCGCCGGCGACGCCGCCCAGTACGCCCAGTACGCCGCCCACTTCCAAACCGGAGCGGCGGCCGGGGGAGGGGCGGCCGCCGAGGCCTCCCAGTACGCGGCGCAAACTGGGAACCAGTACGGGGGAGGGGCGGCGGCGGCGGCG